TTTTTTTTTTCTCTGGTAATCCACAATATGTATTAGAATGGCTTTCAATAATATAATATCTGGGCACATTTAAATTATGTGCCCTCAAAGCAATCATAACGAATCCCTATAGTGTGATCTGCACAGATATTAGCATCTAAGATAATTGCTATTGATAGTGATTACGTCCTATTGCGCCAACTTGTAGCATTTTCTTGATGTGACGCTACATAACTGTTGATTGAAGCACCAACATACACCATTTCACTCTTCACAATAATTGTTTTTGTGCAACCTTTTAGCCTTAATAGCTCTGCTCTTATGCATTTTCGCAAGCAGATGTTGTGGCTGTTATGGCTGTGAATAAGTTCGCTTATTCTCCCGCTTGTTGGCGCTGCACTGAATATGCATTTGATATTATAGATGTGGATGATAAGGACTGAAAAACTTAGGGGAGTAAGCCAACAGTCATGACATTGTGGTTGATCTTGTAGGCTGTATTAGCGCTGAAGTTTTGAGCATATGTAATTCTTCAGGAGTTCTCTTCATACAGGACACATTGTAGGGATGACTAACAAAGAAAAACTGAAGCGGAGCTCAAGGAGTTGAAGGATCTAGGGCCGAAAAGCAGCTGCCACACAAAACATGTGCCGCTGCGTCTGCGTTTCGAATCGCTCTACCAACTGCACTTAGCTGCCTCTTCACAGCACCGTTTTCGTCCGAATTCAGCCTCAATCTTAATAATTGTCAAGAGGGACAGAATCAGCTTGTACCTTAGCATTGAAGGCGCGTAACATTTGCGCTCAATTGACCGTTTTTTCGCCGTCGTCGAGTCCGCGATTCGAACTGATAGAACGGCGCGATTTCGTCCCACTTTAAGCGACCACCGCACCCCCTTCAAGTGTGAGTAGCAACATTCACAAAATCACCTTCACCCGTAACATACATGCTCCACTCGGCTGCCGCTCTTTCAGTGCAAATTCTGTGTTTGAGTTTACTTCTGTCAGCGATTCTGATCGCCTCAGTCGAGTTTGACTGGATCTGTTGACACAACCGTATTGCGCGTGGAAACGCTCGCTTTGTATATGTGCGACCGCACTTCAAGGGCCCTAACTCGGATAATGATTGGCAATTTGCATCGATTAGAGAAATATAGTCCTATATTAGACCTACTTAGGAGCAACACATTCCCTGCAATAATCTACATATGATATGGAAAAAGAGCATTTTTCTTCGTTTTAGGCTTGTACGAGTCTGTTAATGACACAAACCATAACCCTGTTCAAATAAACTATTTTCATTCTAAAACAGGATTAATCATAAATCTTCAGTTTTCACAATGTATAAATCGTACACCCGTCAACAATGGTTTTAGACAATTGTCGTGACTCATTCGCAAAAACTCGTTTAATTCCTTAATTTCTGTTATATTATTCTGTCAGCCTGCTAAATTATTCATCTCCGGCATCTGCAAGTGTCTCGCATTGACCCTACA